GCTGCTGCTCCCGCTGCAGCAGAGCAGCAGCAAGCAGCGAATCAACAGCAGCAGCAAACAAAGAAGAAGTGAGGGCCCCCAAGCGACAGAGGTGCAGCAGCACAGCAGCAACAGCAGCAGGACTTGCTGCTAGCAGCCAATCCTCCCCCAGGTGGCTATACACCGCATCGTTCACAAATACACTCATCCTGCTGCTGCTGCTGCTGCTGCTGCTGCTGTTGCTGCTGCTAGCTTGAGAAGCAGTTTGTGCTGCAGTGGAGATACACTGCAGCACCAGCTGTATTGCTGCTTCTTGCTGCTGCTGCGGCTGCAGCAGCAGAGGACCATTAGCAGCAGCAGCAAGCTGCTGCTGCAGCAGCTGCTGCCACAGGCCCTGCTGCTGCGCGAAGTATGGATCCTTTGCTAGCAGCAAAAAAGGCAGCAGCAGCAGATGCTGCTGCTGCTGCTGCTGCAGCTCCCCCCCTATCAGCAGCAACCGTCGAACCAAGCGGGCTATCAGCAGCCGCTGCTCTCGCGCCTGCTGCTGCTGCTGCTGCAGCAGCAGCTGCTGCAGCTGCTGCTGCACTTGCTGCTGCTGCTGCACTTGCTGCTGGTGAGTTGGAGGCATCACCAGCAGCAGCAGCAAAGCATCTTTTGCTGCTGCTGCTCTCAACGTGTTGCAGTGTACAGACACAGAACGAACAGCTAGCTGCAGCAGCGGATGCTGCTGCAGCAGCAACGCCCTAAAGGGAGCAGCAGCAGAAAGAAGAGGCAGCAGCAGCAGCGCCTTCAGCAGCAAACCTGTCTGTGCAACACTAAGAACATGCGGCTCCAACAACCGACGAACTTGCTGCTGCTGCTGCTGCTGCTGCTGCTGCTGATTGTGCTGCCGCTGCTGCTGCTGCTGCTGCTGCCGCTGCTGGTTGTACTGATGCACAGCAGCAACATGCAAGGCATCTAGCTGCTGCAGCAGCTGCTGCTGCAGCGCCTGCTGCTGTGCCAGGTTGTCCCCATCATGCTGCTGCTGCTGCTGCTGCTGCAGCGGTGCTGCTGGTGCTGCTGCTGCTGCTGCTGCTGCTGTTTGTATTCGTGCTGCAGCAAGGCGTCGTGAGTTCCTCTGCTGCAGCAGAGCAGCAGCAGTCGAACTGGCGGGCGCCCTTGCTGCTGCTGCTGCTGCTGCTGCTGCTGCAGAAGCAGAAGCAGCAAGAGATGTCTGTGCTGCAGCAGCAGCAGCAGTAGCAGCAGCAAGAGATGGATGTGCTGCAGCAGGCAGCAGCGCAGCAGCAAAATGAATGTGTTTGTCTCCCCCCAGCCTTCGCGCCCACCGCTGGAATCGCCAAGACAGCAGCATCAGCAGTTGCTGCTGCTGCTGCTGCTGCTGCTGCTGCTGGTGTTGCTGCTGCTTCTGCTAATGGGAGGAGTACGCAGGCAAACGCTCAAGTGCACGGATGTGCTACTGCTGCTGCTGCTGCTGCTGCTGCTGCTGCTGCTGCTTTTGCTGCTGCTGCTGCTAGAGGTGCAGGAGTAGCTAGCTGTCTGCACCCAGCCGCAGCAGCAGCAGCAGCAGCAGCACTCCCTCCACTTCTCCTTCTCCTCCTTCCTCTTCCTTCTCTGCTGCAGCTGCTGCTGCTGCTGCTGCTGCAGCAGCAGCTACTGGGGTTGTGTATCTTCTCTATATAGATCTATATCGTGTGTGAGCCAGTGCAGGTGTATATTCTTTTGCAGCAGCAGAACAGCAGCATCAGCAGCAGCAGCAAGAGCGAGTCTATACGTTCTGTGCTGCAGCAGCTGCAGCACGTATAAACCAATAGGAAATCTAAATAAATAAATAAAAGGAGGATGAGTAAGATAACGTAAATAACGTAAATAATATATAAATTTTTCTCTCTCTAAATACCCCTCCTTTATTATAAAATATAAATATAAAGGGTTGCCTAGACACTCCACAAACTCCACTTCTGCTTCCAGCC